CCCCAAAACCCCAAAACCCCAAAACCCCAAAACCCCAAAACCCCAAAACCCCAAAACCCCAAAACCCCGAAAATCTTAAATATTATTGAGTAATAATATTTTTGAAATTTAAATGGATTTGACTGAAGAGGAAGCTGCATTAGCAGCAGAGGCCATGCAACAATACGAGGATGATAGCGATAGTAATAATGATTTCGATACAATGTCTGATGGAGAAATGGAACCAGGTGGCTGGATCCAATGGTTCGTATCTCTTCCTGAGCACGACTTTTTGGTAGAAATTGAAGAGCAATACATTCAAGATAATTTCAATCTATTTGGGTTAAAATAAGAAGTTTGACACAGAGCGATACTCTACCTGCATCAAAATGATTTTAAGTAATTATTCCCCATCAGAAGAAGATTTGAAAAATGAAGATTTTTTAGAATTAAACCAAGAAGCATCTGATTTATATGGATTAATTCATTCAAGATTTATTATCACTCAAAGAGGATTAAGCAAACTTTACAATAAATTCCTTAATGGAACATATGGGTATTGCCCAAGAGCTTTATGAGACCGTCAAAAAGTCCTCCCAGTCGGTCTCTCTGATGAACTCAGAACGTCCAGAGTCAAAGTCTTCTGTCCCAGATGTGAAGAAGTGTACATACCCAAGTTCAAAAGCATCAATGTCGATGGAGCATATTTCGGAACTTCAGTGCCACACATTTTCTTGAAAGCTTTCAAAGAAGCAGTTGTGTTGCCGCCAAGGATATTTAGCTATGAGCCTAAAATCCACGGGTTCAGGCTTTACAAGAAAACTGGGTCGAGGGCAGCAGGGTCGAAGGATGTAATTACATATCCACAGTTTTACACTACAGCTGACGCCGCAGGGGAGCTTAAGAGTAGGAGGTCAAAGAAAGATGAAGAGACTGCCAAAGCAAGCAAAGATGAGGCTGCTGAGGGAGCTTCATTGATGGTTCAAGACAAAAATCCAAGTAAACTAATAGAGTGTAAGAATCTCTCAAAGTAATGTACTATCTCAAATTAATCACTAAACAAGCTTTGAAGTAAAGTAATGAACAAGATTTCTAATTCCCAATATTCCTATTTGTTAATTCTTCATTATTCTTCCCTATTAACGGGGTTTTGGGGTTTTGGGGTTTTGGGGTTTTGGGGTTTTGGGG